AAAATGTCCTCCCCTGAAGCAGAAATGAAACAGAACATACTAACATGAAAACTTCGTGTTCTGTAGTTACACTTTACTGACTCCAGGCAATTTTATGTTAATACTATAGTAGTGAAAATAATACTAGACTCTGTCTAGCTTTTCATGTCTCCTCAATTGGCATAATAAGGTTTGTCACTGACTTTGCAAACAGGCAGATTTTTAACATTATTGATCATTCTAATTAAGTGAATTTGAAGAGAGTGTCTAGATTATTATGACCTCCTTTCACCTTATCAGAAAAAGGCATCAGCAGAGAAGAGATCACAGTGTTAGAAAACAACAACATTTATCATTCAGGGTTGTGAATGTGGAACAGAACATTAAACACTGGCAGGAATATTGACAACCAGGATTGTCACCAGTAAAGAAAATTGTCTTGTTTTGATGGAGTTCAGAGCAAAGTAAAAAGCTTTTGAAACTTGAAGACTCTTAAACTTTTATTTCCTGTTCTTGCCTCCCTTCAGAAGATCAGAGTAGAGTGTAATAATTTTTAAAAGTTTCCAAACACTGATGCTGTAATGGAACAGCATTCTAATGTTAATCTGGTTTTATAAATAAATTCTTTCATATGGAACACTTTTTACATTCAAGGAGCTGGTGTTAATGTTAACTTGTTGGCATGAAACAGTTTGTTTTTTTTGCTCCTGTACTGTTTAGAGTTTAGGTCTCTGAATATCTCTGTATGAAACAAATCATAAAATATATTCAGTACGTACTGGTTTTATATCTGAGATTACGTTCATGCAATTTGAGCTAATTTATTAGTTACTATAATGCTTGTAACATGACACTGTTCCTGGGAAATTAACATGCATAAATCTTTGTGGGTTTACAAATCTGCAAAGCTAAATTTCATGTATAGCAGTGTAAGCACCTGTGAGTAGTACATTAATACTCCTTGGGATCATTTTGATCTAAACTCTGTAAGATTTAAACAGGGAAGAAATAATTTATTTTTCTGTTCCCCTCTCTTCAAGATATAATCAAATAATACTTCCAGGTAGAGCTCATGATAGTTCATAGTAACAACACCAAACAACATGCCTTTGAAACCCTAATACTTTTAAGATAAACATTCAGCAAGAGCTTTGAATATGCCCTGAAATCAGGACATACAGACAATCAATGCAGTTCCATTTCAAACCAAATAAGACAAATATTAAGCCCTTCTATCTTGAGGTTGATTCTTACCTGAAAATTTATCTTCTACCAAGCCAGTATCATCTGACTTTGCTGTTTGAAGCCTTAGGGAGGCAGAGTGTGTGCTGAAAGTCAGAGTTGAAAATGGCTCATTTCATGTTGAAGTAGGTTTCTGCAGCTGAAGAGGAAGTTTACCAACACTTGCTGCAGGAAGTGTCAAGAGTGGAGAGATTACTAAGAGTTTTAAGTCGGAGTTTACAAGCTTGAGGAGCAAACTTTTCAGCTCTGTTGTTTTTCTAAAACTCAAATATTGAAATGATTGTGGCTTTTGTTATGTAGAAATTCGTACATACTTGTTTGCCTGTCTTTGTTGCGAGCGGTTATCGCTGCTTCAGTGTGAATCAAAAATGATGTGAGTTTGAATTGGATTTGAATCATCCTGATTTAATTTCAGTGATGGGTTTGGTGCACTGTCCTGATTATTAGTGGAAAAGCATTGTTAGGCTCAGTACAGTGAGTCATGGAGAGCGATCTGATCCCAGGCTGCTGGCTCACTTCTGTAACTTCATTAAAAGGCAGATAATTGCAGATTTCACCCCAACTCTCCATGTTCATTTTCTGTCTGGACAATGTTGTACCTCAATGGAGGGCTGTGCTCCCTGAGCAGATAGTTTCCCACTGTCTGTCCCTACCATTTAGGACAACCCAAACTACTTTCTTTTGTCTCCTAGAGAGGCTGCCTGGGAAACAGGAACCCGCACAAATATGTCTTCATGGCATTTTGAAAGTGTGTTCTGCCAGTGCCAAGTAGCTGCTACCAGATGCTTCTGCAGCTTCATCTCCTCCTACTTCTCCTGTTGTGCCTCTTCTGATTACACCTGTTCTTTTTTTCAGCCTCTCCCTGGTCCTGCAGCAAACCCAGATCCTGATCCCATACTCACACTGTAACTCCAAGTTTCCTGTCTGATTCTTTCATCTCATCAAATTTCTATTCAACCCTCATGGTCTCCACCTATCTCTCACCACAGTTCCCACCTCAAGCACATTTCTTTTTCCTTTCTGTTTTTCCTTCCTTTCACTGATTCAATCAGGATTCTTTCCTTTTTTGCCTGTTCTTATGACAATGCTGGTTTACCTCTTTAATCTACTACCTAATAACATCTGTGCTCCTGTGTGCAGGCTGGATAACTCTTACACATTCATTCTTCTCTTTTAGTTCTGTTACCTTCCTACCTGTGAGCAGTTTTACACCAGGTTAGAGTCTCATGTTTGCTATCTCAGATTCCTTTTCTAGTACTTGCACACCTCTGCTGTTCCCTCCTGGGCTTGTGGTCATTTTGGGAAAGGAGAAGGTAACTGCAATGCAGCATGTCCCAACCCTGCCCTTCAGCTCTCTTTCTGTCACCAGTGTGAGATGTTCTCAGTTCATCTCCTCCAAGTACAAAGTTGTCATCACTGATGTGTCACAGTTTGCCCTTATTCTTCTTCAGGCCTTTCTCCTCATGTTTTAGAGATGGCTGACAGAATTCCCTCTCTCTCCTTTCCACTGGTGTGGAGTGTTGCACCGTGTTTCTGTGACACAAGAAATCACAACTAGACAGCAGAGAAGACCTTTACTGACCTTGAGCAAATGTTATGGGAATATAATATTCCCAACTGCCTTGTATAATATTTTTTGTAATATTTTCTCTTAGAGAAATAGTATCATGTAAGTTATTTAAGAAGAAATGTTTCCAGTTTATTGGAGATAAATTGAAACAGTTCTTGCATTTTAACAAATAAGGCAAACTTCATATATTCAGATACAAAGTCAAAACATAATAAATATGATTCAACTCTCAATCTGGTTCAGGAGCAGTTAAGCTTGTTTAAGAAGTTCATGATGGAAAAAGCTGAAAGGGCATTTTGAGAGGGACCAGTTCCTGATTCAATGGTTGCATCAAAGTTGTGACTGAATTGTGGTTTTCCTGAAAAAGCAACTTTGTTATCCCTGTGCAGCACCTTATGATTTGGTGTCTTTATTAGACTAACAGTCCTTTCCTTTTTTGTCCCCTCATGATCTTTGGGAATGGGCAGACTTCTGTCCTTCTGTTTTATCCCGTTCAGCTCCCATCACCACGATTCCTGGTCAAAGGAGTAAAACTGGTCTTGATGCTATTTATAGAAAGGTATTGAACACAATCTGACTCCCCGGTGTTGCTGCAGCATTCCCACTGTCATGAATGGAAAACCCTAACATCTGAATTTAGTTTTCCTATGTTAAAATTCATGTTGTTACTTGAAAGCTAAGTTTTTTGCCATCTATTACTGAGGTTAAAAAGGCAAAAGATTAATTTTTACCTGGGCATGAGTTAAATCTCAACTACAAAATTGGTTAAAATGGGTTTGTGTGACTTCGATGGTTCTTTGTTTTCCTGTTCGTTGTTTGTTTCTTTAGTGAGTTTCTCAGTAGTTTCATCTTTGGATTTCCTTTGTGTTGCAGCATCTCTTCCTGTTATCAAGTCTTGCATTATCAAGTCTGTTTCAATTGTCTCCCTTGGCATCCTCTGCCATGTTCCTGCTGCTGTTGGCCAGAAGCTGTTAGTAGCCACAATATCACCATTGCTCCTGGGCCTACGTTTTCCTTGCTGAGTTTTTTTGAGATAGGACATTTTGTTTGCTATTATAACTGTTGCCAGAAATAAGAAGGTGCAGATAAGCACAAGTACTGCTATTATAATAAAGCAAATCAGTATAAGAGACTTATTGTCTTCACATGTTTCTTTTGTCACTGTACCCTTGGATTTGCTGATATTCCTTGGTCCTCCAGTGACAGGAACAGCTTTTCTGACAGGGGAAGATGTTGAATTTTGGGCCAAGGTGGAGGATAAGGGTAGCAGGGTATTTGTCTGCATTTGAGAACTAGGTGTTTTACTGCTGAAATTGATGCTCAGAGGAGAATTTGTATTGGCTTCTGTTATGTTCTGGCTTCCACTGAGGTTTTGGCTGATAGGATTCCAGGTCTCATTTGTAACCTGAGGATAATCAGTGTGGTTTGCACTCGTTTGCAGGCACAAAGAAAAGATTATCACAACAGGGAAGGCCAAATATGGTTTGCTATGCCTTTCTGTCTTCATCTTCCTTTTTAGTCACCTGCAAAAATACAAATGATGGTATTAGTTTAGCAATTGCTAGTTTGTAGAGCTTTGAATTGAACTTCTCAGGGAATACAAGGCAGCAGCCTCTTTAATTAAAAAAAAAAAAAGTAAGTTGACCTCATTTTTGGTGGATGTAGGAGGACAAGTTGAAGTACTTGGTATGCTGAAAGAATAGGTTGCCTCCAACTTCTGACAGTTTGAGGTTTATAAGAAATATATGAAGATTAAAAAAGAACATGGAGCAAAGAGAGAATGGAAAGTGTTTCCTACTAACTACTTTGTGGTGTAGAGGCAGACTCTGTGTAGTTCCTGCTTTTTAAAGCTGGCTGTACTACAACTTTTAAGTTCATCACTTCTTTTATACAGTGAAGGGAGAAACCTGTATTGTTGCTTCTTACTTTTCTGTATTCCCCTGAAAGTCGGAAATGTAGCCATGCTTGTAAAGATGGTAAAATAAAAAACTCTAATCTGACAAGTTCCTGTAAATGACAGCAATTCATCTTACATTTCTTAGTATAGCTGGAGTCTGGAGTATTTTATAAATGCCTATGAAAAGCTTTGTTCTCTAATTTTTCTTCTTTGTTGTGCAAAAGTACACAAATGTACTTCTCAATTTTTTCCCACCAACATGCTACAGATTGTGACATTTCCTTTAAAATGCCTGAGATGGTGATGCAAATGGTATTACCATTAGTATGTTCTGTTTCACATTTGAGCAGTATTCAAATTTGTACCTGTTGAATTTGTCTGGAGGGCAGGAAACTGATCTTTAGGTTAGTTTGATACTAAGATAATAACCTCAAAATACTAGTGACAAATCAGACAAGCACTGAACCCCTTCTCTGCTGCTTCCTCCAGTTTGCAGTGGAAACACCCTTAGAATTTAAAGCTTATAGTCCCTGCCCGTGTGTCTTTGAACAGAACAAAGTACTACTTTTGAATGTTACAGACTAGCTTTACTTCACATGTAAATACTATATAGCTAAAAGTAGCAGTGCTTTTTTTTTTGAAAATACATTTGTTCTTGAAGCTGCGACTTGAAAAGTAACAAAGCATCTCAGTATGGTTGTAAGATTAAGTAATTTCCAGATATTCCTGACAATGTTTACTTTTAGCATAGTCAAAATTTGTTAGCAACCCTAGGGGAGAACTTAGTATATTCTCTCCCAAAAATCAAAGGGGTGAACTTGCCTATCTTGAAAAATCCAAATGGCAGTGCTTCAAATGGCTGAAGCCCTCCAGGAAAATGAAAGTGATATGGAAAAGAAAGTGAGATGCCTGGTGTGTAAGCAGGGGACACTGTGGATGTCTCTCCTTGTGTGACAAAGGAGCAGCAAAATATTGATATGTCTCTTACTTGGCAGGTCACCCATAACAAAATTAGACTCCATTCTGAGATGGATCCTTATTGTTAAGTTTGGACTAGAAACAATCTTAGTAATTGACTACAGCTCAGGTAGAATTATCTTTAGATGGTAGTTTGCCTGGAGGATGCCTTGTAGCATACTTTAAAAAAGAAAAAATCAAAACCAGCAAAGCCCTTTTTTGTTTGAAAGAAAACAACATTTCACATCAAAGTTTCTGCATAATGTACAGAACTGAGATGTTTTTGATGGTACAGATTTATTTAATGCTACTGTCCCAGAGTTGCAACTCTCTCTGCCTGCTCCCTCCAACAGTACAGTAAGTGCAGTGTTAATTGTAGCATTCTAGATCAGATGTGCTTTTCTTAAAAATAAACTGATGTTGTTAAGGACTTTGCTTAAAATCATGAGAGCAAAGGACTGATCCTTAAAGAGCTGTTTTTTTCTTTAGTTCAACCCTTTGTGCATAGGTATTGATAGGCTCTTCTATCAGTGCACAGTAAGATCTGCAATACAGAGGAACAACAGAGCCAAGTAGTGGCTGTCACTGTTAATTCTTTGGAGTCTTGATTGTGAATAACCTTTTTAACATTACTAAAAATACAGTTATAAGCTGCCTTAATTCAATTGGAGTTAATGTTTGTACAGATCGTTACTGTCTTTGAGTTACTTGAACATCTTTAAAGATACTTTTGCTTATAATTTTCTACAAAATCTAAAAAATTTGGAAGTGGAACTTAAAATAGGAGAAATAATATGTGTACTTACCTTGTCAAGATGTAGTCAGAAGAAAATGGATGTTTCAGGTATTTAGTCCTCGGACAATAAAATGTCTTTGTGCATGTATTTTGCTCTTAACATAAAGGAAGTAGATTTAGTCAATGCTGGTATTTTTTAAGCAAATCTGTAGCTGAAATTATATGTCGTTTACTCTAAGTGGAGAAGTAAAACCACAGAGATGACACACTTCCTTTTTGTAACACCCATACCATGACACGTTAGGGGGGGAAAACACCAACTTGCCCAAATTAGCTCTCAGAACAGGAAATAACATGAGGGGAAGTATCTTTGGCAGACAAACATGCTACATTAATGAAATGGATCTCCTCAGTTATCCTGTGTTCAGGTGTTTTATCCCTGATGTTACTAAAAGCAGGGTCCCAGCATACCTAAAACTACATTTATTAGCTCTTTCCATAGGCTCTTGGTTTGCCTTGAAAGTGTTCCTGCTGGCCTGAAACAGTGACAGGTATTTAAAACTACCTTAGATGTTCATGAGCTACTGTTGAGTTTGATTTTTAATTTATTCTTCCTATTAGAGTTTTATCTGCTGTGCTGACTCCAGGGACTTGGTTTAGGCAGATACACTTTCCAGTCTAATGAAATTCAGAGAATCATTAAATGAGAACAAAAGGTTCTTAGCATTTATATATTATCTGAATGTTTTTCTGGAAAGAGGTATTTTTTAGACAAATCCTCTTGTACTGCTCAGAGGACTGGCCACTGCACCAAGTGTTTGAGTGTGCTGCAGAATCTAGTGAATGAAATGAGCTTGAGACCCTTTGAAAAAGCTGCTATGTGGATGCTTAATTAGTCTTAATTAAGACTTCTGAAATGAATATATTTTTCTACATGTAGATAGAATTTGAATCTCTAAGGAGGTTAAAAAATTAGTTTCAGGGACTTACAATTCTTAAAGAAACTCTGAGCTCTTTTCATGGTACCCAATATTGATCTAAGTGATGCACTCTTGCCTCTCCAGCACGGACTGTATTTTTCCTTCTGCTTGACTAAACCTCCTGTCTGTCTGGAGGTTGCTTGGCTGTGGTAGGTTGTGTGACACTTCAAAATTGAGTTAAATCCATTTTAACTGGCACTGCAGGTGGTTGGAGCCATGGCAGGGTGATGCTCCGAGGCTGCAGCTGCCAGTCCGGCCACAGAGTGGCAGGGATTGGAAGGGACCTCTGGAGATCATCTAGTCCAGCCCCCCTGTGAGAGCAGGGTCCCCAGAGCAGATCTCACAGAACATGTCCAGATGAGTTTGGAATGTCTTCATGGATGGAGACTCCACAACCTCCCTGGGAAGCCTGTCCCAGTGCTCTGTTACCATCAGAGTCAAGAAGTCTTTTCTGATATTTTGGTCAAACCTCCTGTGTACCAGTTTGTGCCCATTGCCCCTTGTCCTGTCACTGGACACCACTGAGAAGAGTCTGGCCACATCCTCCTGACACCCCCTGTAGATATTGATCAGTGCTGAAGAGAACCCTTCTCATCCTCCTTTTCTCTGAGCTGAACAGTCCTAGCTCTTTCAGCCATTCCTCACAGGCAGATGCTCTCGTTCCCTCATCATCTCAGTGCTGGACTCTCTCCCATAGTTCCTTGTCCTTCTTGAGCTGGGGAGCCCAGACCTGCACCCAGTGCTCCAGCCCATTTCTCTGGGTTAATGGTGTGTGTAGAACTAAGTGGCAGATCAGTCAGGTTTAGCGTGGTAGTAGTATGTGCACTGCACCACTCCAGTGCTTTAATGTGGATCTATGTCTGTCTTGGTTTCTTCCAGATTCAAGACTGGTCAGATCAATGGAGATTTGCTGATCTACCATGTCCTGCTGACTCTGAAGCCATACTATGCAAAGCCATATGAAATTGTCGTGGACCTCACACATGCTGGCCCCAGTAATCGCTTTAAAACAGACTTTCTTTCTAAATGGTTTGTAGTTTTTCCAGGCTTTGCTTATGAAAACGTATCAGCCGTTTTTATTTATAACTGTAACTCTTGGGTCAGAGAATACACCAAATACCATGAAAGGCTCTTGACAGGTTTGAAAGGAAGCAAAAGGCTTATTTTCATAGACTCTCCAGGGAAACTGGCAGAGCACATCGAGCACGACCAGCAGAAGCTCCCAGCAGCTACCTTGGCTTTGGAGGAGGACTTGAAAGTGTTTCACAATGCTCTCAAACTGGCTCATAAAGACACCAAAGTTTCTATTAAAGTAAGTCCTTCTAATGCTGTTCCTCATGAATTTCCTGTTCTTTAAAGCTGGCCATATGACAACTTTAAGTTCGTCACTTGTACAGAGTGAGAGGAGAAACCCACGTAAGGTTTTGAGAATCATTTTACTAACTCTTACTTCTCCTCTCCTGTCTTGAGGAGAAATCGCAACTCGTTAGTATGCCTCCTTAGGGATTATAGAATTAAATATCTGTATTTCTGTCAGACTTTTCTCTCTTTCTGTTGTTAGCAATAGATGCTGAACCATTTTTCTGTTCCCTTTTAAGGTTGGGTCGACAGCTGTGCAGGTGACGTCAGCAGAACGAACAAGAGTCTTGGGACAAACAGTGTTTTTGAACGATATCTACTATGCCTCTGAAATTGAGGAAATTTGTCTTGTTGATGAGAACCAGTTTACCTTAACCATTGCCAACCAAGGCACACCACTCACCTTCATGCACCAGGAGTGTGAAGCCATCGTGAGGTCCATCATTCATATCCGGACACGGTGGGAGCTGTCACAACCAGACTCCATCCCTCAGCACACCAAAATCCGTCCCAAGGATGTCCCTGGAACGCTGCTGAACATAGCACTGCTCAACCTGGGGAGTTCAGACCCCAGTTTG